GTGTAGGAACAAGAACTTTGACAAATAACCCCAAAAGTTTCAAGATAGGTGGAGAGGGTTCTCTTAAAATATTCCTTAGCATTGTCAGAGCGGAATATTTTGATACGGGTATTAAACTGGGTGAGKRTGAGTTYATGAAAATTTTTCACAATAGCTAGTACTTCATCCCTGGATTTCATGAGATAAATCCAAGTGTAACGTGAATAATCATCAATAAAAAGGATAAAGTACTTGTAACCCCCCATGGTTGGCATGTGATATGGCCCCCACACATCAGAGTGAACAATATGGAAAGGAGAAAGTGATCTTTTATTGCTAATTGAATAGGAATGTCTACAATGCTTTGCCATCTCACATGATTCACAATGAAGACTCGATAAAGACACTCATTTAAACATATCTGGGAACAGATGACTCAAAGCAGAAAAAGACAAGTGACCAAACCGAAAATGACATAATAAAATTTTGTTAACAGATTCTAACATGACCGACTCTAAGGCAACTCCATGAGGTGGTCCCAAAGCTTGATCTAGTGTGTCCAGCAAGTATATTCCGTTCGCCTCATGGCCACTCCCAATCATCCTCTGAGACTGYADGTCCYRAAAAACACAATGAGTGGGAAAGAAAGTTATGCTGCAATTCATGGACTTTGTTAAGCTACTAACAAATGAGAGGTTTTTGTTAAGCTTAGGGACATGAAGAACAGAAGATAAGAACAGGGTGTCAAAGGTCTTTATATCACCTTTACTAGAGATGGGGGCAAGGGACCCATCGGCAAGGGATATTTTCTCTTTCCCAGAGAGAAGGTGATATGATCAAAAAAGGTTAGATAGACTGGTCAGGTCTGATGCACCGGAATCGACAATCCAAGGGATTTTATGATTACCTGAAGCTGAAGCATGATTTGCATAAGCACAAGTACCTGAGTGAGCAAAAGCGGATGAGGATGATGTACTGTTCGAAGGGTGAGCTGAAGAACTGTAGCTTCCAGGTGATTTAGGAGTCTCCCATACTTCTCAAAATCCAGCTTCATTGTAGCCAACTGTTCAATGGTTGATTTCTCTTCACTCTCCTTACTTCCCCCTTCAGGTACTGTAGCAGCATTAGCAGTCTTGGGTTTTCCCACCTGACTGCCCTTCTTAGGGTTATTAGTGTTCTTAAACTTATCAGGGAGAAGTCCAGGATGAAGCTTCCAACAGGTGTCCTTTGTATGTCGTGGTTTCTTGCAATATTCACACACCTGTTCTCTCTTCTCAGTAGGGCCCTTTGGTTTCATTCCTGCATGTGCAAGATGTTCTGTAGGTGGACTCTGCAACTGAACCTGCCGCCTACTCTCCTCACTACTTATCATAGCATATGCCTGTGAAAGAGTAACCTCATCCCTGGCCAAAATATTTTGTCTGATAATATCAAACTCAGGGTTGAGTCCAGTGAGAAACTCAAATACCCTATTTCTCTCCACCAACTTTCTATACATTTCAACATAATTTTTACTCTCCCATACCACTGTCTCCATAACATCAATTTCCTACCATAGGGATTTTAGTATAGAGTAGTAGATTGCCACACTCTTCTCCCCTTGTCTCAGGTTTTTCACATCACTTTTCAATTTGTACGCTCTGGCTACATTCAGTTTCTTTGAGTAGGTCTCAGTTACACTGTCCCATATCTCCTTGGCCGAAGACATCCAGAGATAGTGCTGGCTTATATGGGGTTGCATAGAGTTAAC